CATGGCAAAACCCCATCTCTACTAACAATACAAAAATTAGCTGGGCATGGTGGCATGCACCTGCTGTAATCCCAGCTACTCTGGAGGCTGAGGCAGAAGAATTGCTTGAACCCGGGAGGAGGAGGTTGCAGTGAGCCAAGATCATGCCACTGCACTCCAACCTGGGCAACAGAGTGACACTCCATCTCAAAAAATAAAAAAAATAAAAATCAGGCTTTAGAAAAGAAGGTTAGCAGGTACATTCTTTTTGAGCATGGATTGGAATTGGATATTTGGGTTTCTAAAAATGAGACTTGGAACTGTTAGATCTCAATGTACCTCATTCTAGAACAACTTGACTTGTGCACATATGGGGTGCAGGGAACATTGTGTCAGACCTGACAGGAGAAAGTTAGTTTTTTAAGCAAATATTTCATGTCTCTCTTTTGGATTCCAGGTTCTCTGTGTTCTCCTACATAAAGATGGCAACAGTAGAAGGGAGACATTGCCATTCTGGCTGTCCTTGGGATTCAGACTTGGTAACTAACTGCAAATACCCTGGCTGCTGATGTCTGTCTGCCCCCAAGTTTCAGGAGACGGGGTAGGCTGAGGGCTGGGGTGATGAGCAGGCTTGTATGCCTGGAAACCTGAACACTAATTTTAGGTTTAATGGCCACATTGGAGAAGCTACCTTTAGGTGACTGCAAGGCTGAAATTGTATTAAAATGATAGGGTTTGGATCCTTGTTGAGAGAAATGACCTGCTAGATTAGAATCGACCAGCTAAGATTTTTATTAGCATTTTTCACAGTTACGAGTGTTGGAAAGGTGAGGATGGCATATGGTGACAGGGTGACAAATAGCAGGAAATGTGTATGTCAAAGTTTTGATCTGGGCTGGACTGTCATCTCCCTTCCCCAAACTATGCCATAAGGCAGTTGACTCATTTGTTGGAATGACAAATGGACATGGGAAAGCTTTTATAATGTATCAAGGTGAGAGAAAAGGCCCCTCACTATTTTTTTATTCTATCCTTGGCTTTGTTAGGACTGTTGTTCAATTTTTGTATTTCTAATCTCACAGGCACACTTCAAGCTTTCATCCTTTATAACCAAGGGGATGAGCTAAGGTGCACGTCTATTCTATGATGGTTCATCTTTTGGGGATTCTGGGCTATCTCTTTTGAAGCTTGCTGTAGAATTGAGTCAACAAAAGCTTTGTGTGAAACCCAACAAATTGTCACTACTTAAGCACCATGTTAATGAGACAAAATAAGAGTGAACTTGGAAGTAATGTTTTGTTGGTTTCTTTTTTGTTTTGTTTTGTCTGTGTGTGTTTTAGTTTTTGGTGCATAGTTTTGCCATGGGAAAAGTGTCCAGGAATGGCTTTCTCTCCCTTGACTGTGTTTTTAGTGAAGTTGCCTATGATCAGGATTTGCACAACATGAAATGTTCAGTGAATATTAGAAAATCCTTTCTTTCCTGTTTCTGCATCCTGTAACCACAGTAACAAGAATTCTTGGGGTGGCAGGAGGTTTCTTAAGACAGCAAATTATGGTTGAATTGTCAATAAATATTGCAGATGAAGTAGAAATGACTGGCTTTGTGTAATGTGGTCTTCAATATGCAAATGGATATGTCCTTCTGTGCAAAACCAATTAAGTCTAAATATACTGTATATGGTCACTTTTGCCACAGAATTGTTAATTCCTTCCTGCCGCACAGGAGAGGAAAGGACTGGTGAACACCATATTAAGATCAGGTGAGGCTGGGCGCGATGGCTCACGCCTGTAATCCCAGCACTTTGGGAGGCTGAGGCGGGCAGATCGCAAGGTCAGGAGATCGAGACCATCCTGGCTCGATGAAACTCTGTCTCTACTAAAAAAATACAAAAAGTTAGCCGGGCGTGGTGGCGGGCACCACGGTGGCTGAGGCAGGAGAATGGAGTGAACCCGGGAGGCGGAGCTTGCAGTGAGCCGAGATAGCGCCACTGCACTCCAGCCTGGGCGACTGAGAGAGACTCCGTCTCAAACAAACAAAAAAAGATCAGGTGAGAGAGCCCTCTAGCGGGAGATCATCAGGGCGTTCATCAGGGCTGACGCTGGAGCAGAAGACAGCCGAGAAGTCAGAGGGAATGTTAAATTTAGCCCACAGGGTTGAACTGCACCGTGTAAATAAACACATTGTGACTTGCCATGTCCTCCTGCTGACTTGGAAGATGTTTACTAACAAATCTGCCCTGTAGAATTGTCAAGAACTTATTGAGACATGTCCAAAGTTAAAATCTTCATCTTAAGGACATGCAACATTCTTCATAGCCCTCACCTGAAATGCCTGGCCTAGGCAAGGTCAAGGGGTGGGGGATACATTTTGGTAATAAACAGTCTAAACTGGATGACATGACCCTCCCCTCCAATCCCCAAGGGCTAGTGAGGGATGGATTTTCTCATCATTCCAGTTGCTTTTTTAAAACAAAGAACCCACCAATCTCACCCTTGCCTTCCCCAAGGCTGCTCTGAGTTGGGCCATGAATATTATTATAATTCGGTGGGTTATCTTCTTATACCTAGAAGGAAAATTACAAAGCATGCTTTTTTCCCCCAAATCCCTGACCATAATGCATACCTGAAGTTGTAATGTCAAATTCACACAAAAATTTTCATACCCTCTTAGCTACAGTCGTGATATTTCTTTGGTCCCTTAATTTGTCATTCATTATTTATAAATAAAATGAGAGGAAACTTTAAAAATGTTAAAATTTTGCAGCTTAAAATGAACTCATGATATTAATGGTTTATATGGGGTTTTTAAAAGCATATTGTATGGGAAATGCCCTGCCTTTCTAAAATAAATAAATAAATAAAATCTCCAATGAATCAGGATTGAGGCTCCTTGCTCACCACTTTCTTGTTGACCATCGTTCATAAGTCCCTCTTAAGGGTTCAAAAGCTTGTTTCCAGGGGACAAGAATCAGACTTTGAAGCCTATGCCCTTCAAAGCCTGCATAAGGTTCATAACCCACGCAGTGGAGTTCACCAGTGAAAATGTGGACTCAGCACATTTTAGCCAAAACCACAACGGCCTCTGCTTCTAGTCTGTGACACAAGAAAGCCCATGAGTTTCTAGTCAGCCAACCTGGTTTGTCCTTTTTTAAACAGAAAATGGCAATAGCAAGGATTTATAAATACTATTTATACTCCAGGGACCCTCCAAGGTCTCATGTCTTCCTTGAAGCCTGCTCAGCCTGAAGAACATGGTCATTTCTGGACTCTTGGTGGCCTTCCTCTCTGGGGAACCAGCATGGCTGCCCAGTCCTGTGCTGCGCGTTGCACAGTGGCTTAACTCGCTATAGTTATGCCTCTGTGCCTGGTGCATGCATATGCCTTTAAGAGCAAAGACAGCTCTGATACCCTGGGTCTAGTGCATTCATTCGCTCACTCAAGTCACTTATTCATTCATTCATACAGTAGTTATTGAACCAGATCCAATTCTACTCTTTGGGGATATTTTTGTGAACAAAACAGACAGAATCTTTTTTCTTGATGTGGAGTCCTTGGGATGGATGAACATTCAACTCATAATCACAAATTGAAATTTTCCACAATGACAATATAAACTTATACCCTATGATAAATGTGACAGAGGAAAAAGGAATATGGTACACTCAGAGAAAACAGTGAATGGCCTTATTTAGATTTTGGGTCAGAAAAGGCCTCTGAAGTGGTGATATTTAAGCTGAAACCCAAAGATACATGGTATCCCCATACAGTAAGACTAACAAGTATTTCTTGCTTTGAGAAATGATCAGCCATTTTTAAGGTCACGTGGTTGGTATGAACCTTCTAACTGTGGAGAATCCTCCTGGCTGTGGCTTCCAGGGCAACCCCTTCCCACCTTTATTTGCCACCAACCTCCCCAATGTTCTTTCTGGTGTTCCCTGGCTCTAATAACCCATGGAAACCTCCACCATGTCAGCTAAAGCTACAGCTGAAGTGAAGCAGTTGTATCTCAGGCCTACTTGCAGAATTAGGACAAAAGTTTTTCTTGCAAATATATTTATGAAGCATTTAGCAGTCCATTAGACACTTATCCTAATAAAAGAGCATGTGTCCTTGGTAGTCACAGTGTTGCAAAGTGAAAAGCACATGGCCTTTGGGATTCAGCTCATCTGGGTTTGAACCCCAGCCCTGCACCCTCAAACAGATGATTTCTTAGTCTCGGTTTCCTCATCTGTAAGATGAGGCAAACTTACAAGGTTTTGTGAGGACTAATGTAACACACCCAGGCACAGAAGGTAGTCACCAGACATTCACTGTCATCTTCTGCATTCCCTTTCTCCACAACTTTCTGACCTCTATGGGTCCCAGTTTCCCCTGAGCTCCCCAGTTCTGCCATCTGCTCCATGATCACATGAAGGCCACCATCCCCCATTCAAAGCCAGCTCCTAGAGCATGAATCTGCTTCCCTTAAGAGGCACCATGGGCCCAGCATGAGCCATCTAGGACCCAATAGCAAGGAAGATGTGAGTTACTAAGGACTGAGCAAGACTTCAGTCCTGCTCTGGAGAACATCTAGGGGATGACGGGGCACAGGAGCAACTCCCATCGTCAAGTGGGGAATCAGCCAAGGATTTGGTCCAGGAGGGGACCTGGGGCACCAAGCAGGATGATCATTCAAAACCTGAGAGCAGGGGCCAGGTACTCACGGACAGAAGCCCTGGGGTGGGGAGTGTAAGAGAGAGGAAGGAAGGGCTATGATTTAGGGCTCTCTAAGACCTCCAGGAGCTTGTGCACAAGATAGGCACTTGGGACTGGGTCATCTAAAATAAAGAGTCCCTTCTAGGTCACCAGTTAAAGAGGTGTGAGCAGGACCCAAAAGTGTCTCTCCCGTAGGTAATCCGAGATCAGCCTTGGGAATGGGACGGGGAAGACAGAGAACTGCAAGAGGAGAAACTGACAGCAGACGGGACATTTTGTTTATCTGAAAATGCTATTATAGTCAAATCCTTCTTACTCCCTTACAGGTAAGCACAGACACCTCCAGCTTGCGAAGGGCAGATCCGAAAGGCCGGAGTGCGCTGTTGGCTGATATCCAGCAAGGAACTCGCCTGCGCAAAGTCACGCAGATCAACGACCGCAGCGCCCCGCAGATCGAGAGTAAGTGAGCAGCCCAGCCAGGCCTCCTGTGAGCCAAGGACAGGACAGGCATGTGAGACACAGCCAGACACCCCTGGCTGGGGCCACAGCTGCTTCCCAGGACACATACAGAGCCATCTCAGACCTGCTCATTGGACAGGCCAAGTGGGCGAGAGAACGAGAGCTTTCCCTCCAAATCTGCAAATGGTTTAGAGCATATCTTCCATCCTTTTCAAAAGCTAAAAAGAACTCCTCAATGGGACAACTTTTTAAAAATTATGATAAAATACACATAACATAAAATTCTTCATTTTAACCATTTTAAAGTGTTCAATTGGTGCCAATTATTATATTCACAATGTTGTTGCAACAATCACCTCTATCTAGTTCCAGAACATTTACATCACCGCTAAAGGAACTCTCATACCCATTAGTAAGTCATTCTCCATTAGTCCCCAGCCCTTGCCAACCTAATCTACTTTCTGTCTCTCTGGATTTGCCTATTCTGATATTTCAAAGAAATGGAATCATACAATACATGGCCTTTCGTGGCTGGCTTCCTTCACTTAGCATAATGTTTTCAAGCTTCATAGATGTTGGAGCATGTATCAGTACTTCACTCCTTTTATCATTGAATATTTAATTGTATGGACACACCACATTTTGTGTATTCTTTGTAGGGTAACATTTAAAGATCACTCACCCTGTGTCAACATGGTCCTCAAACTCAGTGATAGAAAGTGAAGGGCTCAACATTTTTTTAAAAATGCAAAATTTTGCTTCACTGTTCACAAGGAGAAAGATGTGTTAAGAATTATGTTTCAGAGGATATGACTGAAACTCGCTGTCTGCTAGAATGTGACAGAGTAAATTGAGTCCTGTGCTCAGGTCAGATGACCCACATTGAGTTCTGGTTCTGCAACCAGACAAATCGGGAAGCCTCTTTGAGGCTGTTTGGTCATCTGTGAAATGGGGAGCCTCTTTGAGGCTGTTTGGTCATCTGTGAAATGGGGAGACAATACCTGGCTCCTTTTTTGTCTTGGTCAAGATTGTTGGAAGTTGAAATAATATATGCAGAACTTTTTAGTACAGGTCGAGCATCCCTAATCCAAAAATCCCAAATCTGAAACTTTTTGAATATCGACATGATGCCTCACATGGATGATGAAGATGACGTTGTTAACCCTGAAGAAAACGTGCCTCCAGGTGACATGGTGGAAATGTATGATGAGTTTATTGAAGGACAAGAGCGGCGTACATTCATAACAGAACAAGAAATCATGTCAGTTTACAAAATCAGAGAGAGGCTTCTGAGACAAAAACCATTTTTAATGAGGCAGATGACTCTGGAGGAAACATTTTTAAAAGACAGCTAGCAGAATGCTTCCTCAAATCTAGAGGACCTACTTCCTGGTCTCTCAGTGGTTTCTGATGTTTCTTCTCACCTAAAACAATGAGATCCAGTGTACAGTAACCTTTAATCAAAACACAGCATTGCAGGAGACTGAAAGCCTGCCTTTGTTTGTTGCTGCTGTTGTCTAACAGCTGATCTGGGTTTTCTGGTGATACTACTGTGTTGCTTAGTTACCTTGAACACACTATTTTTTTGCTATGTTAATGGTATGCCATATTTTTAACTGCTAAGTTCTTATGTGTGAAGAAGTGTAGGAAAATGATTGCTTATTGGTAGCATAGAAAGTCAGTGTCAGGAATGATGGTGATGGACAAACCACAGATTGACAACTTGGGAGGATGAGATGGTGACACCTTTGCTTTCTGATGGCTCCATGAATGCAAGCTTTGTTTTATGCACAAAATTATTTTAAAATATTGCATGAAATTACCTTCAGGCTATGTGTAAAGGCATATATGAAACAAATAAATTTCATGTTTAGACTTGGGTCCCATTCCCCAAGATATCGCATTATGAATATGTAAATATTTCAAAAAAAAAAATCTGAAATACTTGGTCCCAAGCATTTTGGATAAGGGATACTCCCCCTGTAATGTAAGGTGTTGTTATGTCTTCCTATGTTCTGCTATGATATGCATGATGGTAATTCTTAAAGATAGTCCTAAAAATATAATTATATCTCCTATCTGCAATTATAAATGTCAACACACAGGATAGACAAATTTTTAAAGAAATATTTTCAACATGGAGTACATTAAAAATTAGTTTCTGGTTAAACCCATGATCGAATTGGTTAAGGCTAATTAACAGGTAAATCAATTTCATCGAAACACTCACTTCCTAATCATTCTCATGAGTAAGTAATGTATAATATTAACACTTAGAATAATCTGGCCACTTTCCTCCACCAGTGGGCACTGTGCCCTAATTTCTCTGTGCATATTAGCTTCAGGCTGTAAATATTTTCTGCCAGGAATTCTTGTCTAAGCTGAGTATCTTCTCATTTTCTGTAGTTAGTAACCACACATGTCTGGAAGGCTGGAGTTAGTGATACCTTTCCTCAGGGGCCCATGATCTTTCCGTTCCATAGATGAAAAGGTTCAGGGAGGCATGAGGGGCTGGGGGCGTGAGGGTTGGAGAGACAGGAAGGAAACTGCCAAGGCACAATCATTGCAGGCTTTACCTCTTGCTTGCTGCTCTGGTCAGCGCTCTGTGGACAAGAAGTTAAAATGACTGACTGAATTAAATCTGTGGGTTTTCTTTGTCTAGTCCTCCATAGCCAGGTTGAAAATAAGAGCAGCTCTACATCTACCACGTTTGGGTTTTCTAATTCAAAGGTGCTGCCAGTTGCTCTGTTAGCATCTACAAAATGGCAGTGTTCAGGTCCCTTTGTTTTGGTCACTTTTCAGGGGAGTTGGGCACAAATGGTTAGTTCTTTGGTAGGACTGGAGAGGGCAGGGCATGTGAGTCTACAGGGTATCAAGGCAGAGGGTGCCTGGAGAAGATGCTGAGTGAAAGGATGACATTGGAGGTGGGAGAATGGGAAGGCGGACAAGGGCAGTGGTAGACCAGTGTTAGACCATGGTCTGAAATGAGACCTGGCTGCTCAGCTCTGCTCTCAAGTCCTTGCCTATTTGTGTCTTCTCTCTAAAGGTTCTAAAGGAACCAACAAAGAAGGAGGAGGTTCTGCAAACACACGAGGTGCGAGCACACCTCCCACCCTGGGAGATCTGTTTGCTGGTGGCTTTCCTGTATTGCGACCAGCAGGCCAGCGGGATGTAGCAGGTAAGGAAGAATTCATTCTGGCTCCCTTGTGGTCTGTATCTCCTTAACTTGTGGAACCATCAGGGCAATCTACACATGCCAGTAAGCAACAATGGTTTTACTGAACAGTCACGATAGAGTAGAAGATCATGTTCTTGGGACCTTAAACACTGGAAACTTCCAAAGTACAAAATGGTTCTTAAGAAATCTTTTACATCATCATCCTGTTTAAATTATTCCATTGTAATAGTTGAAAAATGACTTGTAATAATGTGTAATAGTTAGTGATGGCGTGATGGTAGCCCAGACTGCAAAGTGTATATCGACAGGTCTAAATTGTAATAGAACCTCATAGTGACATCACTGTGGATGCACTAGCAATGCATGAGTTGTAATGATTCAGTTTTCATATCAGTTAGGTACTGCTGTGTAACAAAACACCCTAAAACTTAAACGCTTTAAACAATCGTTTTTTAGCCTACAATTCTGTGGGTTAGCAGCTTAGAGTAGTCTCGGCTGGGCTCCCTCTTGCATCTATAAAGAACTGCAGGTCATGTAGGTAGCTTTGCTAATCTTATATTTCTCATATTTTTCCAACCTCTGGGGCCTCAGCTATAACCACTGGCCTGACTCACCTCTATCCACATGGTCTCTCAGTATCCAGCAGGCTGTCCGGGCCTCGTTTTCATGCCAGCAGCAGGATTCCAAGAGAGAAGACAGAAGTATAAATAAAGCCTCTTGAGGCTTAGTCTTGGAAGTATTACTAGGATGTAACTTGGAAGTCTAAGAAGTATCACTTCCTATCACATTCTCTTAGCCAAAACAAGTCACAAGGATGGAGAAATAGACTTTGCCTCTTGATGTGAGGAACTGTAAAATCATATTTCAAAGATTATGGAATCAAGCATAAGTGGGTAATGAAGGTCGTGTCTGTAATCAGTCTACCTCTTTTTTTTTTCCAGTGTGCATCAGAGGTTTTTTGTTTGTTTGTTTGTTTGTTTGTTTTGTGACTTTTGTTTCAGTGGGCATCAGAAGTTTTGAAAGTATTGCATTAAAATTGAACAAATACAAATTTACTCTGATAAAAACAAAAAACAAAAACGCCTGTTTTTCCTATTCTTGTTCTCTTTAACCACCAAGCTGAATAAACTCCAGGAATACCATAAATACAGCAAATACAAAGGCCCAAACATTCCTGGTACTGGATGTTCCATTATGTGACTTTGCTAACTTTTTTAGTGGCCTCTGTGACTGTTTAATGTTATGGGATGCTTATGCTGCCTCACTCACCAATAAAAGTCCAGCAAAGAAAAAGATGCTAGGATATTTTGAGATCCAACTTGAACCTTCTCAAGGGCCATGTTCATTTCGTCATTTTTGCTGAGGGGTTAGCAGGAAAGGTAGAGCACAAGGTCTTCCTCAGTAAAGACAGTGGATATTCTTCAGTGCCCTCTTCTTTTTCAAAATTTCTGAGTGCTATCAAACAAATATCCTTTGGAATAGAAGGCTTCCACCAGTTTCTCTTCAGAGAAGATGGGAGAAATAGGCCCCAGTCAGGTTTTCATAGGAAGCAGCCAAAAATAGCCAGCAGGAGTCCTGCTGGTCTGCTTGTCTCCAGTAGGACATAAGTGTCAGATGTTTGAGCTGCTGTAATAGGGAAGACAAGAATTTATCACTTTAGAGATGGAGGTCCATAAGGAAGTGACTAATGATGCCTGTTTCAGGATGGAAACTCAAGGAGAAAGTCACTAGATAAACACATGGACTGAGTACCATGTCAAGGCAAGGCAGGTCGTGGCTCCCTGCTCCCAGCACTTTCCCGGCAGCCCCCTTCTCATCAGAGGAAGGGACTTGAGCCTTTGCTCCCTCTCTGAGCTTCTGGCCTACCTTTCTTGGTGGTTTATGCCGTCCCCTCCACTCACGCTGTTCTCCTTGCTGCTCTTCACACACCAACATGTTGCTGCCACTGGGCGCTTGCACTGACTCTCTCTTGGCCTGAAAGGCTCATCTGCAGGTGTCCATGTGACTCAGTCTTTCCCTTCCTGCAGGTCTCTCCTCAGGTGGCAGCTGATCAAAGTGTCCGTGAGGTCTTCACTTATCATCCCATATAAAGGTTCAGTTCCATCCTTTCATTCTATATCTCCTTTTCCTTAATTTACTTTTCTTGTATTACTTAGCACCATCTGACATATCATGTATCCACTGGTTTATCTGTTTATTGTCTGTCTTAGCCATCTAAAGCTAAGCTCCATGAAGGCAGGGACTATGTTTTGTTCACTGCCATAGAAATGCCTGGCGCATGGCAGGTGCTCAGTAAATACTTGCTGACTAGCATGTGTGAATGGTAGTGTGGTGGCTGACATTCAATAGGGACCATAGCACAGTGTCATGGGCTCATGGTACTTCTAGGGACTCATGAAAATATTTAAATTTCTTTTAAAATCAGAAGAAAATATATGACCTTTTAGGGTCAAAGAATGTATTTGTCTTTGTACCAATGCAGTCATGAATATAAATATATTTTTAATGGAGAAGAGGCCCACAAAGGCAAAAGTGCCTAGGGACCCTGGAGTCATAATGCAGCCCCAGCTTAGAGCTCCAAGGGAGTGAGAATTACAATAAGATATGATGAGTAAACATTATTTCTGGGTTGAATAGAATATGTAATGAGACGTCCAGGGTCTTCTGGAAAACATTCAGATTTGAGGAAGAAGAAATATTTCATCTTTTGATAAACCTGCAGGTTATAAAAGCTGAATCCTTTCCTATGGGCACAGCATCCCTGATGCCCTCAAGCTGGCCTTTCCGCCACCTCCTGGCCTCCTTTGTGTTTTCTTTGGATTTCTAGGGCTTGCATTTCCATGGTGAAGGACAGCCTCCTCCCTTACTTCCCTCAACTCCCTCGGAGCTCTCTGTCAGCCCAGGTCTGCCTCCTTCACTTGCCTGCACTTACACCGTCAGCCCCTCTCTCCCCTGCAGTCTCACCTTTCTCCCTGAGGGGCATGAATAGAAGCTGGGCAGGGATTTGCCCGCCCTCGCTTCTGCTGTGCATGTTAGGATAAAAATGAGTATGCCCACATTTCTCATGTGGTTGGTGGCTTCATCAGCACAGGATCCCCTACTTTTAACTGACTCACTTTAAGGGTTTTTGAATCTTTGAGACATGGTGTCCTCGGTTACTTAAAAGGTTTAGATAGGCTATTTAAGGGTAGGCTTTGTTCTGTTTTGCAAACTTTTATTATCCCTTTCAATTTCATTGAGCCACTGGGCATGTAGGTAGGCTCTGCCTTGTTTAGGCAGCTGCCTAGGTTCTCCTCGTCATCTTTATGTATTATGTGGAAACAGGTTTGAGAACTTCTAGGCAGGAATGCCTGAGCTGACACCTGCAATACCATCCTCACCCTACCTTAAGAACAGCCATTCCATAATGTGGTTGGAATATTATGGTCTAGGTGACTGTCACATTATAGCCAGAGGGGCTCATATTTGGAAAGCCAGATACCAAGGTCTTGCCTACTTAGCTTCCCCTGAGTCACCTCTGCTAGGCCGTGCTTTGATTGGCCTGGCTTTTGAAATCCAGTACTTTAAGTGTATGACTTAGCACCTGATTGAGGTAAACACACAGGAGACTCAAGTACTGCAAAGATCAGAACCCCCAACAGATGCTGAGGTTTCTAATCTGAAATGAAAGCTGCAGGTCCCATGCTGCAGCACCCAGGAAGTAGTGGGTGTGAGAAAACATCATTTTTCAAGTGTTGTCCACATGTTGTCATGGTGATTATAAAATATAGGGGAAAACATACTCCCCAGAATTCTTATAAAAAGAGCACTAAATCTGGAAGAAATATTTTAATCTGCTTCCTGAGTAGACAGTGATACTCCAAGGACATCTCTAAGCAGTAATTGCAGAACTTCAAGGCAGTAAACAGCGACAGGAACTTTTTCTTATTAGAGAGAGGCAGAACGAAAAAGGGTGAGAACTAGCAAAATGGTGCAAGATTGTGCAGAGTATAGAGGCCTCTCCTGGGGCATGCTCCACTAGAGTCTTCCATGAGAACCAAACGCAAATGCTTACAAGAGCAAATCGTTGTTGTTGAATTTAAAAGAGGAATTGAATTTCAAGCTGGGGCAGATGCAATGAAGGATGTATAGGCTGAGAAAGCCAAAACCCTTGGGAATTAGCGTAAGTCTTTCGGAAAGGAGGTTTTGAGCTTTCAGAGGCCATAGAACTGCGAGGTTCAAGGTCATTGGACCTGGGTTGTCAAGGGCAAATGTCTCCCTCCAGTCTTATCTTATGTATTCAGGGAATCATGAATTTTCTGCTCTCAACACAGAGACGAAGAAAGTCATTGTTCATAGAATGCTGGGAGTGAAGAAAACCTCCCTAGCCAGGAGTGCTGGTTGGTACACCTGAGGGTCCAAATTAGCACATAAGGGCTGATGGACCTAGCAGGTGTCAGTGAATGAGTGTGAGTGTGGCCTTGATTAGGAAGGGCAAAAGACACCCGGGCAGTCCTGGCCCTCGTCTTGGATACTAGGGGCCCAAGGCAGATGACAGCAGAGGTGGCAATGGATAGGAGGGCGGGAGGCCTGACCTGGGCTTGTCATTAATGCTGGCAAGGACCTTGGAGCTGGTCCAGTTGGTCCTTCTGTGTGACAGCTGCGGTACCTGAGGCCTCTCAGTGGACACGTGCAGAAAAAGCGGTCTACAGTGCAGCTCACTGCGGGCAGGCTTGAGTGTCCTGAGTGCCGTCTACCTGCGGGGGCTTCCTCCTTCTTTATTGCCGAGCTAACCCAGAATCTGTTTCACTTCCAGGTGGCAAGACAGGGCAGGGCCCTGGCTCCCGCGCGCCCTCTCCCAGGCTTCCCAACAAAACCATCAGCGGCCCGCTTATCCCGCCTGCCTCTCCCAGGCTAGGCAATACCTCCGAGGCGCATGGCGCTGCCAGAACAGCCCCGCCTCGCCCCAACGTGCCTGCCCC